TTGTGTTTTATCTTGGGATGAAAGTTCCTCCTTTACCTATAAATACATTTTTTAGGGACCATAGAAATAGTATGGCAGACAATGTGGGTTTGATTCCCCAGCACCATTTATGGTCCCTTGACCCCACTAGGGGTGATCCTGGATTATAGAACCACGGATAAGCCTAATACACAGCCAGGTGTGGACCCCCTAAAACAAAACACAAGCCATAACATGCTGCCCTTAAACATTAAGATTTTTTTACCTTACCCAGGATCCTTTGCTTTTCACATAACCATTTTCCTCTATAAATTAAGCAAAAGCACATTTTTATTATTTTTCCCAAAGAAAATGTTTGTCATGCATCTGCCAAAACCATAATCATTGCCCCTTCATGGGCTTGGGTTTTTCTAGACATCCTTAAGAAACAACTTAAATTTGATACCTTTAGAATGTCAGCTGACAACGCTGGCCGAAAATTTGCTTTCAATATGTACTCTTTACTCACATCCAGTCAGTAATCATTGATGCAGGGCCAGTATAATTTCCTTAACACACTCTTTTATGTACCCACACTGGGTTATTCTGAAGCAGGTTCAACACACAAGATTTTAGTTTGAATTCTTTATAAACATCACCCAACATGCTATTTTTTATATGGTGATGATTTAGCAGAATCACTCTATTTTTACCAGGAAAACTAGGTAGTGACGCTAGCTGAGTTTCTTCAACTTCGAGTGGATTAATCTGCAGATTGGAAAGAGACAGGTCTGATGCTAGAACTCACCGAGACACACAGATTGCTTCTGTCTTCTGTACCCGAGAAGACAGAAGTCATGTGACTCCTGCTCCCTGGAAACAATGCAGGGAGGCCACCTTCTCCTGTTTCATAAATTCATTATCAGTCAACCCAGGGAACAATGCTGTCGGAAGCCTGGGGCCCGCGCCTGCGACATCAGTCCTGTGACACAGACCGCTTGGCTCCCTTTCTGGAAAATTCCAGGACTATATAAAAATCATTTCTAAAGTCCCGATAGACAGGTTTTGCCAAGAATGCCAGTTATCTCTGGACAGTTTGGTATTATCCTTTAAATATTAGATTGTGTAATCATAATGCCATTCAGGGAAAATAAGGTGGTAGGTAACTGGCATTTTAAAAGTGAAATGAACTTGATTCCTGGGAGTGATTAATCATTGTTCCACTAAAAATGATAATACTCCCTAGTAGTGAAATGCTAGGTAAAAAGCAGTATTTTGCGACTTGGATCACAGGTAAACAAAATGATGTTTATTGGGTTTATTTAACACATTTCTATCAGAACAGCATCTGAAGGGCATTTTAGATCTCTTCATGCTTTGAAACTGAAATTACTTTGAAGAAAATTTCTGGGTTTTTTTTTGGGGGGGGGTCACACCCAGCAGTGCTCAGGGGTTGGTTGCTCAGGGCCATATGGGATGCCAGGCATCAGACCTAGGTCGGCAGTGTGACCTGCTGTACTAATGCTCCACCCCCAACTGAAGAAAATTTCTGGTAAGTTTCCACCCACCTACTTGTCTGACCAGTACATCTCAGAAGTAGATCATTATTTTTGTCATTGTAACTTGCCTTCGTATTGACTTCCTTGGCCTTGACTTTGCAACAGAGGGTTTGCCTCGACATGGACATCAGCGGTCAAGTCATTGCATACTTTTTGTGGGCAAGTCATTTGTGGTGATGGAACAGTTTAATTTTTTTTTTTGTATGTTTTTGCCCCACTTTTATTTAAACAAGGTAAACAGGGCTGGAGCGATAGCACAGCGGGTAGGGCGTTCGCCTTACAAGCGGCCAACATGGCCGACCTGAGTTCGATTCCTCCGCCCCTCTCGGAGAGCCCGGCAAGCTACCGAGAGTATTCGATATGCCAGACACAGTAACAACAAAGTCTCCAATGGAGACGTTACTGGGCCTGCTCGAGCAAATCGACGATCAACGGGAGGGCCTTTTATTTATACACCGTGGTTTACAAAGTTGTTCATGGTGATTGGAACAGCTTATTTTTAATGCAGTGTTTTTCTTTCAGCTAAACTTAAATTCATTTTTCCTAGTGTTGGTACCATTTAAAGGCAGCGTAAATTTAGCACAGCTTCTCATTTTGCCAACTTGGTAGAAATTTTAAAGGTTTCATTCCTTTTACATTTAGCTACTCCTTATGAAGTGGACTATGAGAACTCTCTAATTTTCAGTACAATGTGTAATTTAAGACAGACTCAGTGTACTTGGAATGTAGTTTGCACCAGGGATAGAGGGGAAAAGCAGGGTTTGTTGCATTGATTTTAAATCTCATTTTAATATGACTAGTAGGAGAATCTTCTTCGGAAAGTAGATAATAACACAGTCTTAAATCCAAACAGATCACAAATTGGAAGGAACCCAGATTTACTGCAGAGGCTAGAAAAGATACATTTAATTTTCTAGAGATTTCCCATGTGAATAACTCATCACTTCCATTATTAAGATCAGTTGTTACAAAGATGTCACAGCAAATTCTGATGGGTAGGGCATACTGCTTTTACAGTTTAATATTGTAAAGTCATTTAACCTGCTTTTGTTAAAACTCATTTGTTCTTCCGTGATCCGTTCTTTCAGTTACTTAAGAATTTAGTTTTGCATATTTTTCTTGTCACTGCTTCGTGCACAAAGGGCTGCAGAATACTAATTTCAACCTTGCATGAAGTGGGTTCTAATTCTCTGCTCTGGATAAAATGCTTAGATTGTTTCCATTTAAAAGTTATTCTAGTAAGCATATTTAGCCACGTATCAGGATACTTTGTTTTATTTTTACCTATGTAACCCAAACCATTTTTTAATCATTTTTCAAAACTGGGAATGGGACAGCACACACCTTACAGGTTCTCCCCTCAGAACGAAACCCCTTTCCAGTTGCACAGTGCCCACAAGGGTAACTCCTATCCTAATTTCTGACACCATTGATTGATGTAACCTGCTGGAAATGTAGGGAGTGCAATCAAACTATGATCTCTTGTATCTGTTTCCTGTTCCTGGCTGTAATGTCTGAGATAATAAATTTATGGTGACCATATTTTTCCCCCGATACTCTGTTGTGTACCTGCACCACAACTGATGAACTTTTGGATTGTCATCTAAGTTTTGGATAGTAAAGAGTGCTGGGAATATTGTTAGAGGCGTCCTGGTAAATGAAGCTCACGCTGCCGAGTGGAGGCCCCACGTGGTCCACAGTATTCTAAAGCCTATATCCATCAGCAGGCCTTGGCTTGTTATTTTTATATTTTGGGTGGAGTAAAAAAGTTTTTATTGAAAGAAATTTATAGATGGGGTTAGAAGAATGGGGGGGAAGAGAAGGAGGGAAGAGAGAGAGAGAAAGAAAGGAAAAACAAATGAGGCCCTGGGCTATTTTTAAAAACAACCTAATGGAAGTAAAGTTTGAACAAGAGTAATAAATTAATTGTAAGTTTTGAAATCTAGTGCTAAATTTGTCTTCAGGAATTCTAATTTATACTCCTTTGAGCATTGGGTTTTATTCAGCTCTTTAATCTTTATCAACTTACAGGGGAAAGTTCTTTTTAATCTACTTTCATCAGTTGAAATTTTTCATTTTAATTTTGTTCATTTTAATGTTTGTCACTTGGCTCTGCTGGCTTTTTTGTTGGAGTGTTTATAATTATTAATACTTTGTAATGACTCCTAATTTTAATTTTTTTATTTTAAAATTCTTATAATTTTAGTTTGGGGGCAGTGCTCAGGGCTTCTAACTCGGGGCACAGATTGGGGCGCAGAGATCACCCCAGGGCTTGGGGGACCATAGGAGTTGCCTGTGTGGAACCTGGTCCCCTTCTAAGCACCTTACCCACTGTATTATCTCTGTGACCCCTTTGTTTTTGCATGGAGGTATTAAGTGTGTGTTGCTTGCCTTGCCAATCTTTCCCCCTCATTGTTGGTTTCTATTGTTGCTGTCCCTATTAAAGTCTTTTCTTGCCACTAAGATTATTTGTAAAGTCCTTTTCCTTTGAGGGCTTTTTTTTTTTTACATTGAATTTTGTGACTTGTAATTCTATTTCTTTTTGTTTTTGTTAGTGAAACTTTTTGTTTCACTAACAAGAAGTAGTGTCTTTGTAAAATTTTTAAACAATTGAAGCATATACTTTATCAGCACGTTTGGAGTATTTTATCAGCACGTTTGGAGTATTTCACAGTGTCAGAAGATAGCTGAGCAACAGGAGTTTAGTATGTCAGAGCACACATGTGTCATTTGACCAAGTGTGACTTGAAGCCAGTTTTCCTTTGCATGCTCCAGTCTTTATACCCCCCTCCCCCCAGGACTGCTGCACATAACCCTGAGTGGCCTCCAGCATCTCTGGGTCCAACAACACTGCACAGTCAAGCCTGAAAATGGAGCCATCACACTCATACAACTGGTTGGGTATTGCTGGTAGTGGTCCCTCAGCCCCCTGAACACAGAGCTCCCTTCCAACCTGCACGCCCCTCATCCCCACTCCAAAGAAGGATACTGAATTTATGTTAAAGACTGAGGATACAGGTTGGGTAAGAAAATACAAAGGAAAGGGAAAGCTAAGGGATTTATTATCAGTCGTGTGCCTGCAAAATGCGCTCTTGCTCCTTTTACCCATTTAACCCAATTAGTCCTCATGGAAATCCTTGAAATGGCGTTTTCCCCCAGTTTGCTAGAGAGCAAAGTCTCAGGTACTTTCCTCTAGATTTATGTAGTAAATGGCGGTTTGGGAATTTCAACCCAGACTCCTGCGTATTCGAATATTCTTTGTTTTTTGGTGGGTTTTTTGATCTTGTTGTCCTTGCTGGGCTGGGAATCATAGATTCTTTTCACAAGGATTTATCTGTCCTCCTAAAGTATCAGGATTGTTTACATTCTGTGGTCTCATGTAACATTTTGGTAGCATTTTAAATGGCATTTCTTGAGGCTATCAGTCATCATTGGTTGTGGGAAACACAGAGTCTGTGTAATTTCCTTTACCTTCCACCTTAGCATTGAGAGTAAACATGAGGTCACCATCCTGGGCGGACTCAATGAGTTTGTAGTGAAGTTTTATGGACCACAAGGAAGTAAGTACATGTATTGGTATGTGTTCTTCTACTACAATCTTTTGCTCTATTCTTTAATAGTCAGTGAAAGGATCAGAGAGGGTGGTATGTGTAGTTTGTGAAAAGTAAAAACGTAAACGTAATTGCATCGGGAACTGTGACCAAGTCGTGCTCTTATAATCATCCATTGTCAGTGAACATGAATTGTGAATCCTCAGCTTTGTTATGAATTGCCACATAATTGGTTTGAGAAGAGGGGGAAATGTTCCTTTTTTTTTTTTTTTTTGGTGGAGAGGGGCTTAAGTGAAATAAATGGCTGTATTACATAGTTTGATAGTATTGAACAATTTAAGGGAAAGAAGAAACTTTTAAATTAGAACTTTCAAAAGCATTTCGGAAGCAGTCAAAAGCAGTAGTGATTCAGGACTTAAAGAAATGAACTTGCAAGGTTTTCAGATGAGATTAAATATTTAATTTATAGTTATTTTCTGATTTGGAGACATTGATCATTTTCACTTTTGTTCCAGCACCGTACGAAGGTGGAGTGTGGAAAGTCAGAGTGGACCTTCCAGATAAATACCCTTTCAAGTCTCCATCTATAGGTATGTAACTGCCAGTTTCTCTATTTAGAGAGTTTTTGAATAAAGAGAATAAAGGAAAAAAAAATCTTACATTTTTTGGGGAGGTAATCATTCCAGAAATGACTACTTGGCTGAAAAACTTTTTGACTTTGGCGAATTAATCCATTACTTTTGGTGGGGGGTGGGGGGCTTCCAAGAGTAATAGGAGATGATTTAGTATACCCTGGCATGACCATGATAACTATGATTTTAGATTTCTCTCTTGGAGTCAGATTAAATAATTTTAAGGTTTCACTGTTTATTAAGGCTCTCAGCACTATAATAAATATCTTAAATCTCATTTTTAAATACCAGATTGTTAGTCATTGTTACTGTGTCCTAATTTCAATTTCTTCTCTGTATCCTACTTTACTTTTTTCCCCTTCAACTCTAGGTACCTAATAATGAAATCACCTTTTTCCCTTATCCAATTTTCAGTACTCAGTATAGCAGGGTACAGTAGAATAGAAACCTCAGTGGGTTTTTAAAAGATACTTTTATCTCTCCATCTTCCTTCTATCTTAATTGGTGTATTACTACCCAGGCACCCAGTGGCAGTTTGAGTATTGAAAGTTACACCTTTACATATTTTGAGATTGTGCAAAATGGTAGCAATATAGCTGACTGAATTTAGTTTTTTAAATGTCTCCTCTTGGGGGCTGAAGAGATGGTACAGCAAGGAGGACACCTGCCTTCCATGCAGTCTGCCTGGATTTGATCCCCGGTACCACATTCTTTGAGAATATAGATAGCCAGGAGTGAGCCTGAGAACTGCCAGGTGTGGTTCCCCCATCTAAATAAATTTTTAAAAAATTCTTTCATTCTATAGATGATTTTTAAAATGCTTTAAGACATTGATGGATTTTAAGAAATGAAATAAAATTGGAAAATACACGCTTTCATGTTGAGAATATTGCTGGAGTTCACACATCTGCAGTTTGCTTCAGGCTTATGTTAGGAATTATTGATAGATCTTTTCGTCTCTAGACACACCCATCCCTACTTCCCAACCAAAAGGGTTTTCAAAGAGGTGAGCCAAAAACATTGTTAAGCTTTATGCTTTGATTATAGGACCCCCACATTTCTAAGATAATACAGCAAAATTAAGTTAGTAAAAGACTAATTTCCATCCAAATGTAACAGCCTCTCCACCATCTGGCTTTTTTATGTAGTTTTATGCTGTAGATAAGACTATGGGGTGACTAGGGATGTTGCTCGGTTATAGAGCTCTCATCTGGCCTTAGTTTGATTCCCCGGCACTACAATAAAAAATAATCACAACTCTAGAGGCAGTTTTTTATACTTGGAGTCCTGTGGTTCCAGGTATAAAGGACTGATTCATTGTCCCCAGGAGTAACCCATCAACAGGTGTGGGCCCCTTCACTCCCCTCCCCCAAATAAAATTAATAACTAAAATTACTATAGAAAAGTAGTAACTTCTAGGGTTCATAACAAGAATAAACTGGAGACCAGACAGAGAGTAGAGTGGGTAAGGTACTTCCCTTGCATAAGGCCTTACCCACATCGAATCCCTGGCACCCCATATGTCCCCTGAGCCCTACGAGGAGTAAGCCCTGAGCACAGTTAGGCATACTTGTGCCCCTTCCCTCCAAAAAAGAAAATAAATTTATCATTCCCTCTTCAAGTGCCTTGGGTTTTCTAAATACATTAATTTAGGCTAATTTATGGATTTTTAAATTGGATATTTCCCTGTTGCTACAGCCCTGTAAATTTGAGTGATCAGGTGGTGAAGTAGGAAAGGTATGGCGAGGCTTGGAACACTCCCCGAGTACCTCTGACTTCAATCTATAAAGGTGGGCAGCCACCCAGCCCCAGTTCACTCCAGGGTCCGAGGAGGTTGATTTCACTCACTTCAGGAGGAAACTGCTCATGTCGTGGTTCCCTGTCCCCCATTTATTTCTTAATTTTAGGTGTTCTTTCTGTGTGGGCATATAAAATTTTATGAAATTGAGTGGCTTGTTCTTTAAGCCTGGTCCATGTCCAAATTATATAAATTCACTTGAATATGTGTCACAAATGTTAGTTTATTTAAAGGTTAAAAATTGACAAGCTTAGAGGCCAGAGCAATAGTACAGAGGGTAGGGTGCTTGCGTTGCATGTGGCCAACCCGGGTTGATCCCGGGTCGATCTCCAGCATCCCATATTGGCCCCATGCACTGCCAGGCATAACCTCTGAGTATCAACAGATGTGGCCCAAAACCAACCCTCTCCCCTCTACCCACCACACAAAAAATAAAATTGACAAGCTAAATTTAATTTTATTACTCCAGATTCCTGGTCAGAAAGGAAATGGTAGCTTATTGAAGCCTGGGGAGATCATTCAAAATGCTCGGTCCTCCCCATCCCTTGTTTCTGCCCGCGCCTTCTAGTCCCTGAGCACTACCTACAGTGACACCTGAGCACCTAAAACCTGTAGCAATGTAGGGAGCTAGAGTGATAGTACAGCAAGTAAAATGCAACTGGCCAAGGTTCAATTCCCAGCACTCCATATGGTACCCTGAGCACCACCAGGAATGATTCCTGAGTGCAGAGCCAGGAGTAACCCATCAACAGGTGTGGGCCCCTTCACTCCCCTCCCCCCCCATAAAAAAAAAAAACCCCAATGGCGATGCACACGTATATTCTTTAGTAACGTCCTTATTTCACAGACTGCATCTTCACATATTTTTTTCAGATAACATAATTCTTTAATTATTCTTTCAAGGGCTGGAGCGATAGCACAACGGGTAGGGCGTTCGCCTTACACGCAGCCAACATGGCCGACCTGAGTTCGATTCCTCCGCCCCTCTCAAAGAGCCCGGCAAGCTACCGAGAGTATTCGATATGCCAGACACAGTAATAACAAAGTCTCCAATGGAGACGTTACTGGGCCCGCTTGAGCAAATCGACGATCAACAGGAGGGCCTTTAACTTTTACCTTTTTATTCTTTCAAAGTGAAAATAAACTCCAGGTGTTATTAATAGTACAACAGAAGCCTATGTTAAGTTATATAATGCAAAATTGCCTAGGTTAATTTACCTTTATAATTTTTCTTTTGCTTTTCTGTATGATTTTAGAACTTGGTAAGATCTACAAATGTGTACCATCTTCTGTTAGGGAAGTAGATCAGTTGAAATATTTGTACAAACTGTCCTGTTTCCTCCAAAGGAACATTGCATAAGCGTTTTAATCATTCGTGTGGGGTGACCCATTTTCAGGTCATCAGCAATGTACTTACTACTGGAATGTGCCTTAAAACATTTTGAGAGGCAGCGACTCACCTAGGCAAGATTTCTTTTTTGAGTTGTATAGGTAGTTGTAAAATTAGACAGAAGGGCAGAGAAATAAGATAGACCCAGTCTCAAGTCTCCCTTCAACCCTGTCTTTGTAGTTCCTTCAGGCATACCCTTATTTCTGAACTAGATTTTGAGCTCTCAAATTGATTTAGATCTTTAATGCTTAGATCTTGGATTTAATTTTATTTTTACTTTACTGTCTTGAGGATTAAACCCAGGAACTCATCCCTGTGGGGTAGGCACACTGCCAGTGAGTCACCATCATATCTTGGAATTTTAAAATATTTATTTATGCTTTCAAATTTGATTTGGGGACCTGTATCTTAATTTTTGTTGTTATTGCCTCACATCCTGGGACTGGAGAGTACAGGGGTAAGGTGCCTGCCTGGCTCACTGCTGTCCCAGGCTTTGATCCTCAGCACCCACTTTGGTCCCCCCAGATTGCCACCAGGAGTGATCCCTGAGCACCGCTGGGTGTAGTTCCAAAAAAAAATAAAGCTCCATGTCCATAGTAGGAATGTAAGAAAATCCAGGTGACCAAAGATAAAGAAAAACAAACCCCCATTCACTGCCAGGGATGGCTCTGAAGGCTCCTGGATTAGATCCACAGGATCCAGGCAGCTTGGCATCCTCCGGCCCTGGCATTGAACTGCCAGCCAGACTGGTCATGAACCACTGGGAGGGGCCCCTGCCCCCTCCTCCAGCACTGCTTGGAAAACCCCTTCCTCCCCAGCAAAAACCAAAAAGTCTTCTAATTGTACCTTCAATGCCTTCAATGGGTATCATCATTTACATTCCAAAATGTGTGCTTTAAAACAAATTTTCTATGCATATTTAAGTGTATTTTAGTAATTTGGCACGCTCATCCTTGGGGTAGCCTTCAAAGATATAGTTGGAGAGCATTTAGTCGTTCATGATTGCAGGAGCTAACACTATAAATGTCCTTATAAAAATAATAAATCTTCAAGTATTTGATTGGAGGTTATGAATTTACTCTTACAATGCCATTGTTGTTCCAAACATCTTTAGCATATAAGTGATAACAAATTTTAATGCTTTGAAGCTGAACGCAGATTCTGAAATGGCCACAAAGACTATTTGAATCCCAGTGAATCAAATGGGAAAAATCAAGTAGGCTAAGTTGGAATATAAATGATTATGAAATTAACTTATAAAGATTATGCCTTTCTTGTAAATTGTGGTCCTGTTAGCATTTAGGGGAAAATTATAAAACATTCTAATAATTTTTGTAATCATTTTTGGCGTCATTGAAATGTTGCATATTTTTCCAAAGATACTAATTTGAAAAAAATCATACTAAGTTCTGAATTGTTTGAAAGTTTAGACCTTTTTCATTCAGAAACATTCCTCAAAAACACCCAGAGGCCGGTGTCATCTTTGGTACAGTTAGGAGAGAGATTAATTAGCCTGTGGACTCTTCTTTGGGGAAGAATGGTTCTGGGCCAGATTCTTCTTGATGATAAGTAATAATTCATCTGAGCCATTGTGTCCTCTTCCTGAAGGGAGATCAGAACTTAATGAAACCTAGTATTGGCCAGTGTATTAAGTGTGTGGTGTGGGGGGGGGCAGTCTGATTGGATGAGGCAGGCTATATAAAGCTACCACTAGTCAGGAAAAGCAACATAAATTATTTCATATGCTTGGTTACAGAATGTCTTTGGTAT